CAGCCAGACCTGCTCCACCTTGCCCTCATCTGGAAAATGGGCTCATGCCCGGCTCAGAGTGCTCATCAAGGTTAAACGGGATAATGAGTGAAAAGCACCTAGCGCAGTGCCGGCACACACCAGGTACTCAGCACGTGCTAGCTGATTTCAGTTTCATTCTCAGCAACACAGCCATGAGTTGCATTAGACCTCCAAGGCCTCTTCCAGTGTGGGAGGAGGAGAAAAGGGGGAAGATTGGGATCAGGATGGCAGAGGATGTCTGTCCCCACACCCCGGAGGGTGGTTAGCAACTTCTCTGGGACAGAGCTGGTGGCCCGGGGGTTGTCTGAGTTGAGACAGTCCCTTCCCCTGCTATGGAGAAGGAGGGTTCTGAGCTCCGTCAGTCACTGCCAACCCTCTCGGAGCACTTTCCAGCCTCATGGTTGGGATGGGCCTGTGCACCCAAGGGCTGAAGCTAGACCTCCTCCCAGGCCTGCAGGGAGTCTAACATCCGCAGAGCTGAAGAAGAGGCACCTGAACAAACAGGCAGGAGGGGCAAAGCAGGGGCTCTTCACAAACTTCCCAGAGAGGGCAGCCGATGGCCCCATATCTAGAAAAGGCTGAGCAGCAATTGGGTTGAGATGAAGCAGGGGAGGGTGAGGAAAAGGAAGGCTGTCCTCCAACCTTTCGGGCTGGAGGGCTGTGCACCGGGGCAAGGGAAGTGCAGGATCACCAGTGCTGAGAGGAGCAGACGGGCCTCTGCACACAAGTTTAAATCTGAGCTGACACAACCCACCCCAAGAGCTTCAATATCCCGTCTCTGCAGTTGACAAGAAGTTGGCCGGCAGAAATGGGTGCCCAAGCTCCGTGTCTCCAGCAGGGTCTCTCTCCTCAACACCACTCTGTCCACCCCAGGCACACCCACCTTTTCAACCTTGGGACAGCCAGGATTCTCTGACCCAGGACCCTCTCTACACCTCTTTGCTACTTTCTTTTAGAGACAGAGTCTCACCCTGTCGCCCAAGCTGGAGTGCAATGGCACGATCTGGGCTCACTGCAAACTCCGCCTCCCGGGTTCAAGCGATTTTCCTGCCTCAGCCTCTGGAGTAGCTGGGATTACAGGCGCCTGCCACCACACCCAGCTTTTTTTATTAAAGTAGAGACGGGGTTTCACCATGTTGGCCAGGCTGGTCTTGAACTCCTGACCTCGTGATCCGCCCACCTCAGCCTCCCACAGTGCTGTGATTACAGGCGTGAGCCACCATGCCTGGCCTGCCTCTTTCCTACTTTTTGAGGGTAAAACTTGTAAAAACTCCAAATGATTCCAGGCTTTAACTTTTGGGTTTATCCATATCTGAAAATAGACCAAGAGGCCAATGACAATAATTGCTACCATTTTCTACTATGCGTCAGGCACTGTGCTGAGGGCTTTACATGTACTTTACCATTAATTCCTCACAGGTATCCAGCAAGGTAGGTAGTTATTTCCATTTTACAGCTAGGTATACTGAGGCTTAGAGAGGTTAAGCTCTCCCCAAAGTGACAGTGACTCCACCATCATCCCTCATCCTAACCCCAGCAACAGCCTAGCTGGCTCTCCATTGCCCCCTGCTGTATATTCCCCTTCACACCCAGAGTAACCTGCTCAGGGACAAACCCGTGTTCCCTTCACAGCCCTCCAGCAGCTTCTATGCCACTCTGAATAAATCCACGGAAAGTCCTGTGTGCCAGGCCTCTCTGACTTCTCTGACACACCTTCTGTTTCTCTCTGTCCCCCACCCTACTCCACTTCAGTGGTCTCCTTCTATCCTTCAGCTTTTCAAATTGATTCCTTCCAGACTGTTCCTCTCTCTACTTGGCACACTCTCACCACCCCAGTCTTTGTTGTCCTTCAGGCCTCAACCCAAATGCTGCTGCAAGGGGCCTCCCTGACTGCCCGGTCTAAACCAGCAAGGGCCATCACTCTCTTTGCATAATAGCACCCATCATTGTCTAAACGCTCTATGTTCACTTACTCCCTATATAGTCTGTCATCTCCACTGGATGGACCCAAAGTTCCCTAAGGACAGGGATGTTGCCTTCCCAGCATCTAGAACACTGCCTAGTTCCAAGGAACATCCAAGTAAGTATTTACTGAAAGAAATAAAAAGTGTGGGGAGTAGAGGAGCCAAGATTTGAACTGACGTTGTTTGGGAGCCTGGGGCTCCAGTGCACTATATTACATTGCCTTCTCAAGCGGCCAGGGAAGAGCTCCCATAGCCTTGGAAGAATACAGCCCCAGCTGCAACCGTGCTTCCCCTGAGGAATAATGCGTGGAGGGAAACAGGGAGGGAACTTTTTTTTAAAACAATATGTATTTCTATATTTATCTGAATTGTTGTCAGGTACTTGTATTAATTGTAATTTACAAAATAATGCATGCAGGCCAGGTGCGGTGGCTCACGCCTGTAATCCCAGCACTTTGGGAGGCCAAGGCGGGCGGATCACGAGGTCAGGAGATCGAGGCCATCCTGGCTAACATGGTGAAACCCCGTCTCTACTAAAAATACAAAAAATTAGCCGGGCATGGTGGGGGGCACCTGTAGTCCCAGCTACTTGGGAGGCTGAGGGCGAGGAGAATGGCGTGAACCTGGGAGGCGGAAGTTGGCAGTGAGCTGAGATCGTGCCACTGCACTCCGGCCTGGGGGACAGAGCGAGACTCCGTCTCAAAACAAACAAACAAACAAACAAAAAATTAGCCAGATGTGGTGGCATGCACCTGTAATCCCAGCTACTGGGGAGGCTCAGGCAGGAGAATTGCTTGAATCCGGAAGGCAGAGGTTGCAGTGAGCCGAGATGTTGCCACTACACTCCAGCCTGGGCAACAAGAGCAAAACTCTGTCTCTAATAATAATAATAATACATGCAAAATTATGTGATTCTACCCCTTCCAGGTCAACTATGTGATTCTGCCCCTTCTAGTTTAACACGCAGATGCATTACCTACACATACCTTCCTCAGCTCCTAGATTTCTCCCTTCTGCTCATGATAGAGAACATTATCACAGCCTCAAGCCATCTGCTATTACACAGAACCAAGCTAAGAGAAGGATTATTTGAAAAACATCCGGCCGGGCGCGGTGGCTCAAGCCTGTAATCCCAGCACTTTGGGAGGCCGAGACGGGCGGATCACGAGGTCAGGAGATCGAGACCATCCTGGCTAACAAGGTGAAACTCCATCTCTACTAAAAAATACAAAAAATAACTAGCCGGGCGAGGTGGCGGGCGCCTGTAGTCCCAGCTACTCGGGAGGCTGAGGCAGGAGAATGGCGTAAACCCAGGAGGCGGAGCTTGCAGTGAGCTGAGATCCGGCCACTGCATCCCAGCCTGGGCGACACAGCGAGACTCCCTCTCAAAAAAAAAAAAAAAAAAAGAAAAACATCCAGGGACAGGCACGGTGGCTCACGCTTGTAATACCAGCACTCTGGGAGGCCAAGGCAGGCGGATCACCTGAGGTCAAGAGTTTGAGACCAGCTTAGCTAACACAGTGAAACCCCGTTTCTACTAAAAATACAAAACAAAAAACAAAAAAAAATAGCTGTGCGTGGTGGCGTGCGCCAGTTACTTGGGAGGCTGAGGCAGGAGAATCACTTGAACCCGGGAGTTGGAGGTTGCAGTGAGCCGAGATCGTGCCATTGCACTCCAGCTTGGGCAACAAGAGAGAAACTCCATCTCAAAAAAAAAAGAAAAGCATCCTTTGAAGCAGTGCTTCTCCACCCAGTGAGACATCAAAATCACCTGGGAGCTTTCCAGAAATGCCGACCCCTGGTCCCCATCCCCAAGATCCTGTTGGACTCGGTCCCGCATAGAAAATTCTGCAGGGCAATCCATGGCTACTGGTTGAAGTGACACCCCTTCAGCGATCTCTGCCTCTATTCTTGGACCTATTTAGGCTTGGACAGCCACGCCATCCACACAATCACTACCCCTGGGCTGGTCTATTGCATGCAACTCTCAACTTTAGTCCGGAGTGGCTACAAAAAATGCCCTTTCGCACTGTTTGGGATTTAACCACCACAACTTAGGGCCCTCTGCCTCAGCCTTACCCACTGGAGCCCCTGAAAATCAGAGAGAGAAAGGAATAGTACCCCAGCAGGTGCCCCCCAAGGTTCATCTGTGCCACAGCTGAGGCCTTCCTGCTGAGAGCTTGCCGAACACATGAAGAAGGCAGAAGGCTGAGAGTCACCATTCTACATAGCAGGATCTGAGAAGCTTCAGTTAGGACTTAGGGCCAGGAAAATATGACTCTCTAAAAGAACTAAAATTCTTTCTCCCTTATGATAAAGAACTAGGTAATTGATAATTTCCTTTTTTGCCATGGCTATCAGGAAGCTCAGAGATCACATTTACCCTCATGGCTCGTATACATTTCTCCAGTTTTCATCTTTGGCATTTAGATTCTTATTTTCCTACCCTCATTATTTAAAAAGCTGCCTCAGATTTTTCCCATAGAGATAAGGCATAAAGGCCGGGCGCGGTGGCTCATGCCTGTACTCTTAACACTGTGGGAGGCCGAGCCGGGTGGATCACCTGAGGTCAGGAGTTTGAGACCAGCCTGGCCAACATGGCAAAACCCCGTCTCCACTAAAAATAAAAATACAAAAATTAGCCAGGCGTGGTGGCAGGCGCCTGTAATCCCAGCGACTCGAGAAGCTGAGGCAGGAGAACCGCTTGAACCCAGGGGGCGGAGGTTGCAGTGAACCAAGATCGCACGATGGCACTCCAGCCTGGGCGACAGAGTAAGACTCTGTCTCCAAAAAAAAAAAATATCATTTCCAGAGCCTAGCTCTGTCCACAACTCCATGAACATGAATGAATGAAGTTTCCTCTCTATTTTCCTTTAGGGACTGTTGTGCTACCCAACAGGGCTGAGACAGCCCAGCGGGGATCAGAGCTGGACTAAGTTTGCAGGGCCCCAGACAAGTTCCAGCCTCCCGTCTCCCTCCACACCCAGGTCCCAAATAACCAGGCCACACACCGCGTTTCAAGTATCTGTCTCTTCCTTTCACTCTCTCAAAAGAAAAAATAAATAAATTGCAGAAGGCGGCAGCATTTCCAGTCTTCCCTGGCTCCCGGACGCCCGACCCCCGACCCCTGCCCCCCACCCTCCCTCCCGCATTTCCCACTCCCTAGACCCATCCCTCCCTTTTCCCCAAAAAAAATTCCCAGGAAAAAAAAAAAAAAAAAAAGCCACATTTAGACCTTCCACTCATGCAAACCGGCAAAGAAAAAAGGTGGGGGCGTGTGGAAGGCAGGGGCCCACGGTGGAGTCCCCTGCTTCTCCCCCCAAAAAACCACCTTTGAGAAGAAAAAAAGTGGAAAAAATAAATGAGAAATCAAGGGACATGGGGAATTACGATGAGGGCAGGGGTGACCCCAGACCCTGCCTCAGGAGAGAGCGGAGGCCTGTGGCCCTGCATCCCTGCAGCGGGTGCTCCTCGAGGGGGCCCTGACTTCTGGAATGTGTGTGGGAGAAGATGGGGGAGGGCAGGTGGCCCCCGGTGGGTCTGTGTGTGCATTGGGGGCGGGCGGGGGCGGGGATCCTAAGGAGCAAGGGCTCGGAACCAGGAGCCCAGCTCCCCCCCCAGACCCCAGGTTCCTGGCATTCAGGAGCCCAGTTCTGGGGTACGGGGATACATGCAGAGGAGTGTCCCCCCTCCAATAGGCTGGATCCAGTTAGAAAGGAAATAAATAAGAAGGGGTGGGAGGGAGGCCGGGGGGAGCCAAGGGCTTGGGCGATTCAGTCCAGACCAAGGGCCCAGGTGATGGAGGCAGGGCGAGTCCAGGCCAAGCCAGGGCAGGAATCAGAGTCTCTCTCGGGCTGGAACCCAGATGTAGGGGCCTGAGAGGTCCTCGATGACACGCTTCACCTTGTGGTAGATCTCCTCAAAGCTGTCACCCTCCACGATGGCTGGGAGTGGGGTGGAGCAGGGAGTAAGGCCAAGGAAGGGCCAGAGGACACCTGGCCAAGGGAGTGGCACCAGCCCAGAGGAAGGGGCACCTCTTTCTAATTCTCCAAGCCATGAGCCATGAGGCTGTACCCACCCAAAGGGGCACCTCTTTTTTTTTTTTTTTTTTTTTTTTGAGACTGAGTTTCACTCTTAGTGCCTAGGCCGGAGTGCAGTGGTGCGATCTCGGTTCACTGCAACCTCCGCCTCCAGGTTCAAGCAATTCTCCTGCCTCAGCCTCCTGAGTAGCTCGGATTACAGGTGCCCGAAACCACGCCCTGCTAACTTTTGTATTCTTACTAGAGACAGGGTTTCATCATGTTGGCCAGGCTGGTCTTGAACTCCTGACCTCAGGTGATCCACCTGCCTCGGCCTCCCAAAGTGCTGGGATTACAGGCGTAAGCCCCCATGCCACGCCCACAGGGGCACCTCTTTCTAAACCATCCACTGGGAGTGGCGGGGGAGCTCTTTCTAATCCGAGCAAAGGCACCCTACGTGCTGGCGACAGCCTTGCTGTGGCCTCACCTGAGAAGCACTCTGTGAACTCCTGCTCCAGCTTGGTGGCTCTGTCGAAGGCTTTGCGGGCTTGCTCCTCTGTGATCCGCTTGTTAATCTCTCTGTGAAGAGGGAGGGAGAGCAGGCCTGAGACTGGGCCCACCTGACCCTACCTTTTACCTCCTCTATCTAGGAATGTTAAGTTACAACTAGTATTCTTCTATTTGGAGCACATAGCAAAAAAAAAAAAAAAAAAAATACAATTCCCAGTATCCTCTGGGGCCACAGATGAGACCCCCACCCGCAACCGCCCCAGCCAGGTGTGGCTACTCCAGGGACATTTCCAGAGCTTCATCCTTCCAGCCTTCAGCCCCAGAGACGGGATTCGGACTCCAACTCCCAACAGCCCCGGAGGCCCTGACTCGCCCCAGCTGGTATACCCCAGGGGCTGCTGGGAGATGTAGTCCCGTCTAGCCCAAGGCAGGAGAGGAGGGGAAAGGCCCGATTCCCCGCGTCCTCTGGGTTCCAGGTCTCCTGGATTCCAGGTTCTGCTGGGTTTCAGGAATCCCCCTCTGGGGTTGCTGAAACCGCTGTCCAGCGTTCTGAAGGGAGAGTTGACTGCAGAGGCCTAGTGAGGCCCAGGGCCACATGTGTTGGGGGAGCAGAGGGGAGGCCCCCAGGACTATACTCACAGCACATTCTCCAGGGAGCGGGGGCGAATGAAGATGGCGATGGGGTGCAGGTGGGCCGCCTGCAGCCGCCGCACGGCATTGGCCGAGACATCGAGGATGCAGTGCTTCCCCTGGGGGCAGGCAGGGTGGGCGGAGGGGGGCCAGCAGGTGGCGGGAAAGGACAGACAGCAGTGCCAGAGGGACATGGGACGGGGAGAGGTGGGGAATGGGAGGTTGGCCGAAGGGGAGTGACATGGATGTCAAGAAACACGGGGGCAGAGAGTCAGGCAGGAAGAGGGCAGGGACAGAGTAAAAGACAGAGAAAGGAAAGGGAAGATGGAGAGCACGGGGAGAGGGCAGGGACAGGACAGAATGGAGGAAGGGAGGAGCACCAGGCAGACAGGGACCCAAGAGATGGTGGCAGAGCCGGGGCAGCAGCGAGTGGGGCGGGGTGTGTAAGGCAGAGGTGACACAGGCCGGAAGGAAAGCCAAGAAAAAGGAGAAAGGAAGTAGGATAGAGGGAGGAGGGAGGGGAGGACGGACAGAGGACAGACAGATGGAAGGAACAAGGAGACAGATGGGAGGGAGGGAGGCAGATGGAGAAAGGAACCGTGGAGGGAGGGAGGGCAGGGTGGGGAGCAGTGGGGAAAGGAAAGGAGTTAGCAGAGGAGTGGGAGAAGGGAGCGGGGCCCCAGGAAAGGGTGAGGCAGGGGAGAGGACCAGAGGGGAGTCAGGAAAACGGGAGGGACCCAGTGGGGAAGGCCAAGCCACCAAAGACAAGGCCATGGGAAGAGAGGAGAAATGGGGCAAGGAGGAGGGAGTGGGGAGAGAAAGAGGCCAGATGGTGATGGGAAATTTGGGGTCAGGAAGCGAGGGAGGCGGGAGAGAGAGCAGGGGCAGAGAGCAGGCGGTCAGAGTTGCCCAAGAGGAGAAGGAGGTGGAGGAGCGGAGTCGAGACCCAGCAGGGAAAGAGACAGAGAGAGAGAGAGTTAGAGAGAGCTGGAGGGAGGCAATGGGGTGGGGAGAGGGGAGAAGGAAGAGGACCAGGTGCCCGCCAGGTCCTACCTGCTCTGCCACCTCTCGCACGGACTGAACGCTGGTCCCATAGAGGTGGCTGTTGTACTGGCCGGCCTCAATGAACTTGTGCGCCTGAATGTCCTTCTCCATTTTCTCCCGAGACGACACAAAGTGGTAATCCCGGCCATCTATCTCATACTCCCGCTTGGGCCGTGTCGTATCTGCCAGGAAGTCACCCCACCCCCCAGAGATCTAACCACCATCCCTCTAGCTTAAATCCTGCCTACTTCAATCAAATCCCCACAGTGCCCAGCTGGTCCTTTGGTGAAAGGGAGCTTCCAGGGAGACCAAGACTGCAGAGGGCCAGAACCGCCTCCCCTAGCACCCTCCAGGGCCTCCAAGTTTCTGGCCTGGGCATGGGTACTGTGAAATGAGAGTGTGGTTGAGAAGCACCCCTTCTTGCAGAAACCCTGTATCCCCCTACACACCAATCCCCCAAAGGCTCTACCTATGGCCCCAGGGATGGGCCTCCTCCGTCCCACCCCCACCTCCACCTTCTCCTCCATCCAAGGCCCCAGCACTCACGGGGAACACAGGATCCAAACTTGTCGGGGAACTCGGAGAGAAGATCATCGTTGGCGCGGTCCTTGGTGGGCCCAAGGATGATGATGGGGCGAGCATAGTGCACTGCGGAGAAAGCCTGGCTTAGGCCGAGCACAGGGTTGGGGGAGCAGCAGGCGCTGGGGCCAAGGCAGGGGCCAGGGCTCACCTTCCATCTGCGTCACTGTCTCGTAGCTCAGAACCGAGTCTTCTCGACCTGGTGGGAGGTGGGGCATCTGCAAGGGGCTCTGAAACAGGGGACCTGGAGCCCTGTCTCCCCCTTGAGGATATGAAAAGCAGCTCAGTGCTTCTCTCACCCACATCTTCCCGAACTGACCCTACCTACCCTGTGATCCAGAGCTGGAGCCCCAGTCCTAGGAAGAAAAAGCAGGCCACGGGGTTAGTTACAAGCTCAGCTCCATGAGCCCTCACGCTTCCACCCAGGCTCACGCCCTCCTCCACCTACCTTGGCCTTTAACCTTGACCACTCTCGTCGCTCAACCCTGTGGGATACATGGAGAGATAGGCGGGTAGGGGAACGCCCAGTGAGGAACCCGGCTGCCCCCACGCTCCAGGCCAGCTGACAGCCCTGGGCACTGTGCTCCTCAAAGAGGAGCTGTCCTTCCCAAAGGCTCATGGGAGCCAGGGTCCCCAGGAGGGCCCAGCAGACAAACTGCTAGGAGTTCAGAGGGCAAACGCATCCCCTGTTGGCTGCCCACCCTGGGGGACCTTGAAAACTTCAGTGCCTGTGGCAAGAAGCCTACAGAGCCCAGAAGCCTCACCGCCGTTTGCTGGGGATGAACCCAATGTCGTCGGTCTCACTGTCAGAGTGGACCCGCCGTGCCTGCCACCACTCCTCATCACTAGCATCGATGACATGCAGCACGTCCCCAAAGCGGAAGCTCAGGGCCTGGCTCAGGAAGCCGCAGTCCTTGGTCTTGTCGTAATCAAACAGGGCCCTGGAGGGCAAGTGGCTATTGGTCAGAACCCAGCTGAAGACTCCAAGAAGGATGCCCCAGTCACCCTTCAGTGACAGAGGTCTGCAGATGGCCCTCCCATGAGTGCAATGGATGCCGAGGAACCCAAAACTGTGTGGGGAGCAAATGCTGACTATCACTCATAATCACCACAACTGTTAGCCATCATTCAGTCCACACTGAGTCCAGTTTCCAGAGGGAGGGCTAGAACTCAATCCTCTCAAGAAAGCAGCTTGCAGTACACATGCATGTCATAAAGTCACAGGGGTACAGCCAGGCGTGGTGGCTCACGCCTGTAATCCCAGCACTTTGGGAGGCCAAGGCGGGTGGATCACGAGGTCAGGAGATTAAGACCATCCTGGCTAACACGGTGAAACCCCGTCTCTACTAAAAATACACACACACACAAAAATTAGCCAGGCGTGGTGGCAGGCACCTGTAGTCCCAGCTACTCGGGAGGCTGAGGCAGGAGAATGGCGTGAACCCGGGAGGCGGAGCTTGCAGTGAGTGGAGAGCACGCCACTGCACTCCAGCCTGGGCGACAGAGCGAGACTTGCATCTCAAAAAAAAAAGTCACAGGGTAACCTTCAATCTGCCCAAATTCATAAGAAAAAGAAAGGTCCCGTGTTTCCAACTAATGATTACCCTTACCAGTATCAAATCTCCATCAGTAAGTCACAACCCCTGGGGTCAGAACCAGAGAAGGAATGAAGATGCGCAGGAAAGCAATGGGCCTGGAGAGGAGGGAGGAGACCCTGGGGCCCCTGGGAGTGTGACAACCACATGATGCTCCCCCTGGGAGCCACCACATAACCCCTGTGGTCACTGGGAGTCAGAACAACGTTGGGGACCAACTGGTCCCAAGCAGGGAGGAAGGGCAGAGCAAGGGCTCAGGTGGGAGCCAGCATCCGGGTGGCCGGTGATGCCATTCAGCAAGAGGGAAACTGCTGGCACAGCAGGACAGAACACAGTTCCACAGCAGGATGGTGAGCTCAGTGTGGGACATGTTGAGTGTGGGATGCCTGTGGGACATCCCAGTGGAGATGGCCAGAAAGCAGATGGCCAGCAGTGCAGGTCTTGACTTCCAGAAAGAGGTCAGCCAGGGCCAACAGCTCCGAGAGACATCTGCAGAGCGGAGTGGCAGACGAGGCCATGCAAGCCACAGGGCCAGACGGGGACAAAAGTGGGGGGTGACCCGCGGGGGCGGGACGGAGATGTGCTTTGGCAGAAACCTAAGCCACAAAAAGAGTCAATGGAGACGAACCCTAAGAGGGGAGAAAATGCCACTGGAGAGACGGGGGCAGGCACCACAGAGCTGCAGCCCCCTTCTCTGGAACTGCCCACAGTACCGCTGGAGAGACGGGGGCAGGCACCACGGAGCTGCAGCCCCCTTCTCTGGAACTGCCCACAGTACCGCTGGAGAGACGGGGGCAGGCACCACGGAGCTGCAGCCCACCTCTCTGGAACTGCCCACAGGGATGTGAAGGCTGGGGCAACACTCCAAATACCCTAGAGGACCATGCTCCACCAAGCATTAACCTTCGCGAAGCCAAATTGTGTGGTGGCCTGGGAGTCCCGAGGAAGTGCTGGGATGACCAGGGGCTAGAAGGCAACTGGGATACTTGGGGTAGAGGCTATTTTCCCATCGACAGGGAGTATTTCAAACGTTAACCTGTGCAGTGAAGCCCGTGAACCCCCTCTGCGCCTCAGGCCTGGGGTGGGGAGTCAGAGCAGGCAGGGTAGAGAGGAGGAGCGGCTGAGGCCCGGGCCAGGCACAGAGTGCCCAGGAACGCAGAGGGGCGGAGGAGCCCAGCCCAGGGAGCCTCTGACCTGATGTAGAAACCCCTTTTGGGGTTGCTCCGCAGGGAGGCAGTCCCTGAGCCCAGGCTGCTGTTCATGAGCTGTTCCCGGAGGTCGTGGATCTTGGCCTCGAATCGGCTGTACTCTGAGGAAGGACAGGGAGGTTCCTGAGCTCTGTCCCCATCCTACTGCCACCCCTGTCCTCCCCTACTGAAGCCATCAGCTGAGGAGGCAGAGTTCTAAGGGCCATTTTAGCTCACAAGACAGGAACTTCTGGCCTGGTACCTTCTGGTTTATACTGAGCGATGATCGTGACCGTCTGACCTGCATTCTTCAGGGCAATGGCGGCCTGCTCGTGGCTGGCATTTCGGAGGTCAACACCGTTGACCTAGAGAGAGGAGGACAGGCTGTGTCACCAGAGACAGAAGCCAGCACTTCTGGGTCCAGGTGGAGCAGGGAGTGGTCCCGCAAGAGGACTCGGCTGCAGCCCACCCAGGCCCCTCCCCAAGAGCTCTGCGCTCTGCCCTGAGGGGAGGGGGTGGTGCAGGTAGGGGCAGGCCTTCCCTCACCGACAGGATCTGGTCCCCCTTCCGCAGCTCCCCACTGAGGTCTGCAGGGCCCCCGGCCAGGATAAAGGAGATGAAGATGCCTTCACCGTCCTCGCCACCCACGATGTTGAAGCCCAGGCCCGTGGAGCCCCGGTGGATCACAATTCGCCTCGGTTCTCGGGGAATGTCTTCCTCCCCGAGCAGGTCCTTGGCCACTGGGGAGTAGCGCCGAGGGGAAGTGGGGGTCATGGCTGTGGGGTAATCGGTGCCCAGGTAGCTGCTGTGACTGATCTCGTTGTCCAGGTGCTGAGAATAAGCTGAGGAAGACACAGGGCAGAGATGAAAGTGCCTGGAGGGAAACAGCATCCACCACCCAACCTTCTCCCCAGGTGCCAGGAGAGCCAAAGTCAGGTGGAAGGGAAGTTGTTCTCTCAGAGACGCCGGGGTGGGGTGGTAAGGGGATATCGGATCACAGTGACGTCAGGGGTCAGGAATTTAGAGGTGACATCACAGGCTGGTTGTCCTAAGGGATAAAGAATTTAAACATTATATGTCCTCAGTATGCCAGGGATGGGGAAGTCAAAGGGAACATTAATATTACGCTTTGGGAGTTTTCTTTTGGTTCCTGTGTCACTCAAATCTCTTAATCCATAAAATTCTTCTCCCTCTTTTTCCCCCCAACTCTTTGCCATCCATTTGTTAAGAAAAACTAGGTCATTTCTCTAAAAGAATTTCCCACATTCTATGAGGGAAATTCTTTTTTTTTTTTTTTTTTGAGAAGGAGTCTCAGGCTGGAGTGCAGTGCCGTGATCTCAGCTCACAGAAGCCTCTGCCTCCCAGGTTCGAACGATTCTCATGCCTCAGCCTCCCGAGTAGCTGGAATTACAGGCACGCACCACCACGCCCAGCTAATTTTTGTATTTTTAGTAGAGATGGTGTTTCACCATGTTGGCCAGGTTGGTCTTGAACTTCTGACATCAAATGATCCACCCACCTATGCCTCTCAAAGTGCTGGGATTACAGGCGTGAGCCACCTTGACCAGCCTATGAGGGAAATTCTTTTTTTGTTTTTTTCTTTTTTTTTTTTTTTTTAGGCGAGTGTCCTTGCTCTCTGTCACACCAGGCCTGGGAAGTGCGAGGGCGGGATGTCGGCTTTCACTGCAAGCTCACCTTCCTGGCGTTCACCCATTCTCACTGCCCTCAGTCTCCAGAGTACTGGCGGACTACAGAGCCCCACACACTCCCGGTTAATTTTTGTATTTTTAGTAAGGACGGGTTTCACCGTGTTATCAGGATGGGTCTTGTCTCCCGACCTCGTGATCCCCCGCCTCATGCCTTCCCAAAGTGCGTGGGATTACCAGAGGCGTGAGCCACCGCACCTGGCCTAATGAGGGAATTCTACAGGGAACTTACTTGCCTTGTACCTCCCTGTGGTTTTGTTTACAGCCTGATGCCTCTGCCTGTTCTCCTGTAACTTGCGCCAGTTTCATGCTGGAGGCTTGATCAGTTTCAGTTCAATTCAGAGTTCTTTTTAGTAACGTCCTGTGTACTTCATAGGTTAGCCTGCTCTGGTTCTTCCCTACGGATCACCTACAAGATACGATGTCTGGTTGTCTTTCTGTCAGGTAAGATTAATGGTAGGTTCAGGGTCGTCAGCCCTGTCCATCCATTATATGGCGCCCCATCAGCCTTTCAGGTGAGTTTTAGCCACATTGACAATCACCGCCTGGTTCTGATATGTATCAGGGACTGCAAAACGGTGATATTCTACTTCTTTCTTTCTTTGGAGTGGGGAACATTTATTAGTGGGAATTCTTCTTTAAAAAAGAAAAATCTTAGCCAGGCACAGTGGCTCACGCCTGTAATCCCAGCACTGTGGAGGCCAAGGCAGGCAGATTACTTGAGGTTAGGAGTAACCTGGCTAACATGGTGAAATCCCGTCTCTACCAAAAATACAAAAATCGGCTGGGCGTGGTGGCTCATGTCTATAATCCCAGGTACTCAGGAGGCTGAGGCAGGAGAATTGCTTGAACTCAGGAGGCGGAGGTTGTAATGAGCCAAGATTGTGCCACTGCACTCCAGCCTGGGTGACAGAACGAAGACTCTCTCTCAAAAAAAAAAAAAAAATCCTCCAGCTTGGATAACATGCTGAAACCCTATCTCTACAAAAGACAAAAGTTAAACGTTACCTGAGCATGATGGCACTCGCCTGTAATCCCAGCTACTCGGGAGGCTGAGGTGGGAGGATCGCTTGAGCCCAGGAGGCGGAAGTTGCAGTGAGCCAAGATCATACCACTGCACTCCAGCCTGCTGGGTGACAAAGCAAGACCTGCCTCCAACGACAACAAAAAAAAACCAGCCCTGTGTCAACCTATTGGTTACTCTCTGAGGTAGTCTGCACACTAAAGGGAGGATAAATGCATGCCTCTCTCTGCATGCCTCTCTCCCTTTATTCACCAATTTCAGAATGAATGAGATTGCCTAGCATCCTCCAAAAAAAATTTTTTTTTTTTGGGACGCTCAAAAAAAAAAACCGAGTTGGTGCAATCTCGGCTCACTGCAACCTCTGCCTCCCAGGTTCAAGCGATTCTCCTGCCTCAACTTCCCGAGCAGCTGGGATTACAGGTGCCCGCCACCACGCCCGGGTAATTTTTTGTGGTTTTAGTAGAGATGGGGTTTTGCCATGTTGGGCGGGCTGGTCTCGAACTCCTGACCTCAGGTGATCCGCCCGCCTCGACTTCCCAAAGTGTTGAGATTACAGGCGTGAGCCACCACACCCGGCCAAAATATTTTTAAGTATTATTATTACCTTAAAGGTTTTAATATATTTAATGAGTTTTCACTGGCCAGTAGAAGCCTCTTCGATTTGGATCCTGTGTCTTTGCTGAGAACCTATTAGTCTTGGATACCTTCCTTGCTCTCTAGTATGAAAGAAGTTAGCAGCTCATCTTATACATTTATTGCCAAAGATTTTAAATTGACCCTTCTTCCGACGCTCCCAGGTTCCTTTTGGTAGGTTATGGTATTTAGGAACAGTACCATGTGATTTTAATATGGTTTTACAGTATTATTTCATATTTTGTACGGGCTGCCACACCTCATTATTCTTTTCCAAAATGTTTTAGCTTTTCCCCCACACAAATTTTTCCAGTCGAATTTTAGCATCAACCTTCCAAGTTCCCAGCAGGGAAACAACATTAAAATTCTGATTAGGATTGAAGGGAATGTAGAGATTAATTTGGAGCCGGTTGAGATCTTTAGCATATTAAGTTTTTCCATCCAGAAACACAGTGTGACTCTTCACCCCTTCCAGTCTTGTTTTACGTCTTTCAGTAAAGTCTTGTCATTTTCTTCATACAAATCTTACATTTCTTGTCAAGTTTCTATTTCTAATAATTTTATAGAATTTTTTTCTATGGCAAAAGGGGACTTTTTATTCATTACATCTTCTTATTGCTGGGAAGTTACTAATTCCTGTTATTTATCTCACAAATAGCCACATTCCTTTTTTTTTTTTTTTTTTTTTTTTTATTTTTATTTTTTTGAGACGGAGGTCTCGCGCTGGTGGTCACCCAGGGCTGGAGTGCAGGTGGCGGATCTCGGCTCACTGCAGCTCCGCCTCCCAGGTTCACGCCATTCTCCTGCCTCAGCCTCCGAGTAGCTGGGATACAGGGCCCGCCCCCACGCCCGGCTAGTTTTTTGTATTTTTGTAGAGACGGGGTTTTCACCATGTTAGCCAGGATGGTCTCGATCTCCTGACCTCGTGATCCACCCGCCTCGCCTCCAAAGGTGCTGCGGGATTACAGGCTTGAGCACCGCCGCCCGGGGCTTTTTTTTTTTTTTTTTTTAAGACAGAGTTTTGCTCTGTTGCCTAGGCTGGAGTGCAATGGCACGATTCTCAGCTCCACCGTAACCTTCCGCTCCCAGTCAAGCAATTCTCCTGCCTCAGCCTTCTGAGTAGCTGGGGTTACAGCATCGCGCCACATTGCCTGGCTAATTTTGTATTTTTAGTAGAGACAGGGTTCTCCATGTTGGGCAGGGCGTGTCTCGAACCCTGACCTCAGGCAATCCACCCGTCTCGGCCTCCCAAAGTGCTGGAGATTACAGACGTGAGCCACGCGCCCGGCCTGTTTTGGTTTTTTTTTTTTTTTTTTGAGATGTTAGTCTCACTTCTGTTGCCCAGGCTGAGTGGCAGTGGTGCCATCTCAGCTCACAGCAACCTCTACCTCCGGGTTCAAGCAATCTCTGCCTCAGTCTCCCAAGTAGCTGGATTACAGGCATGTGACCACACCTGGCTAATTTTTTGTGTATTTTTAGTAGGAGACGGGGTTTCACAGATGTTGGCCAGGCTGGTCTTAACTCCTGACCTCGTGGACCACCAGCTTGGCCTCCCAAAGTGCTGGGATTACAGGGCGTGAAGACACGGCACCTGGTCTTTTTTTTTTTCTTTTTGAGATGAGGTTCACTCTGTCATCCAGGCTGGACTGCGTTGCACGATCTTGGCTCACCACAACCTCTGCCTCCCAGGTCAGGTGATCCTCCGCTGTCTCAGCCTCAGGATTAGCTGGTATTACAGGCGGGCCGCCACCACACCAGCTTAATTTTTTTTGTAGTTTTAATAGAGACAGGGTTTCTCCATGTTGGCCCAAGCTGTTCTCAAACTCCCAACCTCAGGTGATCCACCCGCCTCCAGCCTCCCAAAGTTGCTGGGATTACAGGGACTGAGCACACGACGCCCGCCAACAAATAGCCACATTTTTAACTTCCCATATGTATTCAGTTAATTCACTTACATTTTGATCTAGATGTAACAGTAGTATAATTTTACAAATAAAGATAATTTTTTTTTTCCCTTCCAAATGTAACTATTCTTCTTGTCTTGTTACACTGTCTGAAATCTCTAAAGTAGCGATTCTCAACTACCATAATTTCGCTGGGGCAATTCTGTCACAACATTTTTTATTGTTATGACTAAGGCGGAGGAGTACCACTGTCATATGATAGACAGAGGCCAGGAATGCTGCTTAATATCCCACAAGGCACAGAACAACCCCCCACAATGAATAGTTATTGGGTCCAAAAATGCCAGGAGTAACATTGAGAAACCCTGCTCTATAGCAATGAAGGATAACAGCAGTGGGAAGAGGCATCCTTGCCTTCTTCGTAAGTTCACGGAGGCTGGGCACGGTGGCTCACGCCTGTAATCTCAGCACTTTGGGAGGCCGAGGAGGGCACATCACCTGAGGTCAGGCATTGGAGACCAGTCTGGCCAACATGGTGAAACCCTGTCTCCACTTAAAATACAAAAATTAGTTTGGCCCGCCGGGCACGGTGGCTCACGCCTGTAATCCCAGCACTTTGGGAGGCCAAGGCTGGTGGGCCACGAGGTCAGGAGATCAAAACCACCCTGGCTAACATGGTGAAGCCCTGTCTCTACTAAAAATACAAAAAATTAGCCAGGCGTGGTGCCGGGCACCTGTAGTCCCAGCTACTTGGGAGGCTGTGGCAGGAGAATGGCATGAACACAGGAGGCAGAGCTTGCAGTGAGCCAAGATTGCGCCACTGCACTCCAGCCTGGGCGACAGAGCAAGACTCTGGAAAAAAAAAAAAAAAAAAAAAACCATACATATATACATACACACAAAAAAAATTAGCTGGGGTGGTGGCACATGCCTGTAATCCCAGCTACTCGGGAGGCTGAGGCAGGAGAATCGCTTGAACCTGGGAGACGGAGGTTGCAGTGAGCCAAGATCGCACCATTGCACTCCAGCCTGGGCAACAAAAGCGAAACTCCGTCTCAAAAAAAAAAAAAAAAAAAATTAGCCTGGCGTGATGGCGGGTGCCTGTAATCCCAGCTACTCGGTAGGCTGGGGCAGCAGAAACACTTGAACCTGGGAGGCAGAGGTTGCAGTGAGCCGAGATCGCACCACTGCACTCCGGCCTGGGCAACAAGAGCAAAACTCCATTTCAAGAACAAAATAAAAATTAAAATTAAATTTAAAAATAAGTTAATGGACACACTGCTAAAATTGTATCATTATAAAATGTTCATTACCGGTTCCTGATAACTAGTCTTCACCATCCTAAGGAAAATTCCTCCGTTCCTAGTTTACTAAAAGCTTTCATCCAAAAGAGATGGTGAATTTCACCAAATGCCTTTCTCACGTCTATTTGAGATGATCGTATCGTTTTCTCCTCTCGCTCTGTCACCAGTCTGGTGGGCAGTGGCACAATCATTGGCTCACTGTAGCTTCCAACTTCTCGGCTCAAGTGATCCTCCAGCCTCAGCCTCCCAAGTAGCAGGGAGTATAGGTGTGTGCTAATTTTTTTTATTTTTTGTAGAGACAGGATCTCGCTATGTTGCCTAGGCTGGTCTCAAATCCCTAGCTGGTCTCAAATCCTCCTACCTTGGCCTCCCAAGTGCTGGGATTACAAGCATGAACCACCACACTTGGCCTCCCTTAACATTTTAATATATGAATCATACTGAGAGATTTCCTAATATTGAGCCATCTTTAGTTTTCTGAAACAAATCCTATGTTATTTCCTTAACATGCTGCCATGTTTGGTATGCTACTATATTATTATAAAGTCTTGTATCTCTATTCAGAAGCAAAACAGGTCTATACTCTCCTTATTTTACGTTATCCTTGTGACCATTTGAACTGACCTTATAAAATGAAATGTGAAATCTTTTATCTTTCCTATACTCTGGAAGAGCAGAAGAATTATGTATTCCTTGAGAATTTCATAAAATTAGCCATAAAACCAAACAGGTTTTGTGCCTTCCATGGGAGAGATCATTGACGATCTTTTCTAGTTCTTTTATGGTAATTGATTTTCCATCTCTTCTCTGACAACAGCAAAGATCAGAGGTTGTGGCTATTTCATTGGGAATATCTGAAGAGGGACAGCTACAGGGATGTCATGGGACTGCATGTCATGGGTTAAACGGGATGGGTCATGGGGAGCTTTGGCGTTTGAAGGGCTCTCACAGGTTGTGATGTCTGGGGGAGCATAGCTGTCACTCAGGTAGGCATTGCTGGGCTTGGCCACCTTTAGGTAGACAACATCATACGTGTTCTTCAGGGCTGCCACAGCATCTTCATGCATGACATCCTCTAGCCCCACACTGTTGACCTGGAGTCAAGGAAAGCAAAGCTCAGACAAAGCCACAAATGGCCCAAGACAGATGGACTGGGATGAAGTGATGAACTTGCGCCTGCCAGGGCTAGTAGGTGAGACCCAGATTTGGGCTAGAAAATGGGCTAGATGGGGTCCTCACCGCCAGGATCTTGTCTCCAATCTGCAACCTCCCATCCTTGTGGGCAGCACCCCCTTCGATGATCTTTGTTACATAGATGCTATTATCTCCTGGGATGTGCTGGTTCCCTACGCCCCCTGCGATGCTGAAGCCAAGACCTGGATGGAGGGGAGGCCAGAGGTGGGTGCCCAGGTGCCCAGGAAGCAGGCTTGGGGGCACAGGACAGTTGGGATGGGGGAACAAAATGAGTTACTACCTTTAGGCCCCTTGATGAGCTTGATCTCCATGACCTTCTCAGCTGGGGGCTTCCGGCGCATGACATAGAGGCGAACGATGGAGCCTGCCTCTTTGAGGGCCTCCACCGCTGCCGAGTGGGTCACCTCGCGCACATCCACTTCATTTACAAACAGGATGCTGTCGTTGACCCTGGGAGCAGCAAGGTGGGCCTGAGCCAAGAGCTTCCTGCTGCCCTGGCCCTCCCTCTCCAGGGACCAAGCATCCTAACCCCTGTATCCTCTCCTCACCTGAGGCGGCCATCCTGGGCCGCAGCCCCACCAGGAATGATCTTGGTGATGAAAATGGACGGGTCGTCACCGATGTGTGGGTTGTCAGTGCCACCTGCGATGCTGAAGCCCAGACCTGAGTTACCCTGGGCGAAGGAGGGGAAGAGGGTCAGCTCCCCTCACTGCCCAAGTCTGGCAGGGCAAGTGGGGTGGGAAATGGCTTGGAGCAGCCAGAGCAGGAAGGGATAGGGTGAGGGGCTGGCCACGCAGACCACATGGGCAGAAAGAAAGGCACAGATGGGGGGCCAAGGGGACTGCCAATGGAGGAGCCTGCTCACCCTTTCCAATGTGATTTCCTCGTATTCCATCTCCCCCTCGGTCCCGTTCACCTGCAACTCCAGCACGGGACAGAAACACAAAAGCAGTGAGACAGACATTCCTGCCTCACAACCTGCCCGTCATCTGCTTCCCTCCCTTACTCCCTCCTTCCTTCTGCAATGGCCCTAGCCCCAAAATCTAAACAACTCACATATCCTGGGGCTTCTAGGGTATCTGTGTTGACAATCACAGGGGGAGAATTGGCCTGTTTGGGGAAACAAGAGACAAAAAGCCACCTGAGCCTTGACTCGAGAGGGAGCCCGTAACGGAGGGTCCCATCAGCGTGGCTACCCTTTCAGACTCTTAGCCAAGCCCACTCTGCCACGCTGAGAGCTGCTCAAGGGCCCAGTCTCACTCCACATCACACACACACACGCACACGCGTGCACATGCGCACGCACACACACACGCACAGATGCACAAGCACATGGATCTAACTCTGCCCAGCCCGGGGCCCCCTGCATGTGGAAGGAGGTGTAGGAGAAGCGGGAAGGGAGACAGCCAGACGGAGAGGGGAGCAGCAGATGGCAAAGAGTGGGGAGAGGGGGGTAGGCTTGGGGGAAGGGAGCTTCTCACCGGATGTAACACCACAGGGTGTTACATACCTTATGTGCTACACATGGACAACCCAGGGATCATGTCCACCGGGTCCTGGTACCCACTTCCTGCCCCATCCCCCCCAATCCCCCCATAACTACCCAGATACTATCATAATCCTCCCCTAGACTTGTTCCTCACCTTCACACACATTTGCCCTAAACCCTGCACCCCGGGAATCCGGGGTTCCCCCAGCTGCAGACCCCTCCCTTGGTCTCACCAACCAGACGTCCAATCCACCCCTTCCTCTAGGGACCGCGTTGCCTAGCAACGGTATCTAGGACCAGCCAAGACCCGGGGAGACCCACCTCCAGGAGGCCCCGTCGTCAGGACAACAGGGGGGTGGGGCGTGGCCTGAGGCCGACCAAACTCCTGAGCGCAGAAGGTTTCCGCTAGCCCCGCCTCTTCTGCCCTGGGCCCCGCCCAGCGTTAGCAAGGCCGAGAGGAGGCCGGGCTGAAGAGGTTTGTGGGCGCAGCGCATTCTGAATAACCTGCCTTCCTCGCTCCCCTACGCCCCTCACCCTACGCAGTGCAAAGGACGTCAGGAAGGGGGAGTGGTGAAAGACATCCGGGTCCTATCCCGCTCATCTATTTCCTCCCCCAACTTCATTCGGGAAGGGGTTAAAGTGGGGCGTGCCCAGGTCCCTGACGTCAATCGCCTGGTCTCTAGACTCCCAGGCGGGGCCAGCTTTAGGCCGGTCCTAGGGGCTTCCCCAATTGCCAGGGCAACCGAAGCCACGTCTCTATGGCAATGGGGGGAGGCCGCCAAGAGCCTCCTTCCGGGGTCCCCAACCTACTTCCTCCTTAAAGAAACATGTATTTGCAGTAGCCCAAGCCCAAGGATTCCCCAGTCTCCTTCCCGCTCTCCCCGTCCAAAGGGGTCCCTCCCCTCTCCTACTGCTATTTCCCAAGCCTACAAACTACCAACCATTTTCAAGCTGTATCACAGATTTCACAACCATAAATCGATTAACACCACCCTCCAACCCTTCACATCTCAGCAAATGCTGTTGTCCAACCAACAGCCACTGACTGCCAAAATCTCATCCACGTGTTCATCCTCCATCCCATAGCCTATCGTCAATCCCCATCCCATCCCTACCCTGGAACCTCCTTCCCAGCACACCCACCTTCATCCACTACGACATTCATTTGCTTCCCATCCCTGTCTCTGCCCGCATCCCACACGCTCCATCTCCATCCCTGTCTCGCCCTTCAACATCCATCTTCCAACCCTAGCCTCCAGCCTCCATTCTCCATCCGCTTCCCTGGCCCTATCACACCCTCCAGCCCCATCCCTTACCAATGTCGTGGCCTCATCCTCCATCCCAATTTCTTTTTTTCTTTTTTTCCCGAGACAGAGTCTCGCTGCGTCACCCAGGCTGGAGCGCAGTGGTGTGATCATAGCTCACTGCTGCCTTGAACTCCTGGGCTCAAGCAGTCCTCCCACCTCAGCCTCCTGTGTAGCTACAGGCACATGCCACCGCACCCAGCTACTCCATCTCAATTTCTGATTCCCCAGAGAGTGTATCACCATTCTCCCTTACCCTGCCTTCATACCCTCAAGATTATTCTCAAGTAACAATCTTACACTTCTCAATCAACTCTCCCTCTCTTCTGAAAATTGGGGCTTCTCTTGTTCCCCAGGTGAGGCCTTGTCCTGAGACCTCCACCCCATGCTTATGGCCTCCAACACTCTCTCCCTCCACCCTCTTCTGCTCCTAAGCTTTGATCCACAGTAGCTCTGTACTAACTACCACCCCTCAGGCTCCCTACCTCCTCTTCCCCCTGCTCAGGGATTTAATGGCCCTGCCTTACAAAAAGCATCTCTAGTCTTCTTTCCCTCACTCCTAGCATCCACAGAATTCACACAAACACTCTGTACCATCCCTGTCTCCAGGGCCTTCCTTTCCTTGCTCTGTCAGCTCCATTCACCACCCTGATTTCACAGTCTTATCCCTATCCGGGCCCTGACCCAGGACCTCTTACCTTCCTGTTCCCCAACTCCTGTCTTGCCAGTTCTCACTCCAGAACCTGATTGCCCGCTCCCTAGGCTCAGAGACCTCCTCCCCATGCATCTTCTTGGTGAAATGTCAGCAACCTCCCCCTTCCCAGAGCATCCCACAACATCCTAGAATCCCCACCCTGACCCCACGGTGTCCTCTCAATCTCACAGCTTGCCTGGTGCTCTCCAGTCCTCCCCATCCTGTGTCCCCAGAAGAAGAGACGGAGGAAGGGGAAGATGGAAAGTGGCCTGGAGGATGGAAGTTCCCAGAAACCAGGCCTCCCGGGGCTGGAGAGAGGAGGACGCTGTGAGCAGAGAGGAGAAAGGGAAACAGGTGGTGGGGGATGATGGAGGGGGCAGAGGGGGACAGAAAGAAGATATGCAGAGGTGAGAACCCAAGAGGATGAGAGAGGGGACGAGGAAAAGAGAGAAGGTGAAGATGAATAGGCAAGAGGGAACATGGGAAAGGGGAGCTGGCTGATGGAGGGAGAGGACTGATGAGGGAAAGGACTGATGAGGCCGCAGCGGCCTGAGCTGGGGATCAGGGAGAGGGAGAGGAGAATGCGTGGGAGGAAGAGAGAGACAGCATCAAGAGCCAGCCAGTCAGCCAGCAGGGAGGAAAGGCTGCAGAGCGGGGAGAGAGCTCAGGAGTGGAGCAAAGGCTGGGGCAGGGGACGAGGCAGCAAGGCCCCACCATGTGAAGTCTCAGGCCAGACAGATGGAAAGGGCTGGAGACTCGGGGACAGGGCGAACCAGGCCCAGAGGCGGAGGTAGGGGGAGGAGGCGGGGAAGGGACAAGAGCAAATGAGGGCAGCAGGCGCTTGGAACAGAGCTCTGGACACAGAAAATGGAAACGGAGGTTGGGGGTGTGAAGGAATGAGGAGGTCCCAGGCGTGGGGGGCTTCCTGGGGGATGCACACACCTCAACACACACGCATACAGTGCACGCACACACACGCATACAGCACACGCACACACGCACAGGCACGCACGCGTGCACACACGCGCAGGCACACACACACATACAGCACACGCACACAGGCACAGGCACGCGCGCACACACACATTCTTGCCTTAGGCTGGACATCCACTCCCATTGGCCTGGCCTGTTTCTCCTCTGTGGGACCAAGGTGTTTCCAGCCCCCCAAAACCCCCCAAGGTGTTCCCCTCCCCCAGGCCCCAGGAGCCCACGTCCCAAACCCCCACCCCCAGTTCCAGCATCCCCCCCAGCCCCCCACGGCTCTCTCTCACCCTACCGGCCCTTGGGGATTGCTGCAGCTCCGAGGCTCCGAGGGCCGCACTGGGGAGGGGGCCACCAGGGTCTCCTACCTTGAAGGGGGAGAGGTGGGCGTGGCCCACGACCCCGTGGCCAGCCTCGAGGTGGGACAAGTTCCTCTCCGCCACGTGCACCAGCTCGGGGGCGTTTACCTGGTTGGGGAGGTGGGCCGGGCTGTGCTCCAGAGGGGGCGTGTCTTCATCTTGGTAGCGGTATTTCTGGGGATGGGGACGGAGGTGTCACTGGGGCCGGCCCGGTGCCTCAGGCTCCAGGCTGGCCGCCCTGGCCGCCTCCTCTTCCCCCAGCCAGTGCAGTGCGGAAGGCCCTGGGGCCTGACCAGCTCCTCCCCCTCCCTCTCCTCTAGCCCATTGGCTCCCCTCTCTCCACTCTCCCGACAGCCCCCTCTCCCGCCAGGGCCTCAGCACCTCTCATCAATTCCAGGTCCCAATCAATCCCAGGTCCTAATCCTATCCCCCAACTCCTACTCCTCACATCCTGGGACACCAGCCTTCTGGCGGGCATAGCCCCTCTGGCATCTGTGTCTTCACCCCTTTCCCTGCCACCTTCATCTTCGGGTCCCTCCAGCTTCTCAGAGCTCTAGCCCCCGACACTCACACCTCCATTCTCTGCATCCAGTCCCCAACTTTCTTGCTTCTCTCACCATCTCAAACTCACTCTTGTTCTAGCCTCGCCTCCCCTATCCCTCTGGCTGCTCCTACTCTGCATGGCATCCTCCCCGCACCCCACCTCCATGGCCTCAGTCTCCCCATTGCAGCCTCTACCCCACAGGTGATTGGCTCTCCTTTACCTTGCACTCCTTAGGCAAAGACTGAAGTCAGCCCCTTCCACCAGAAGGTACTTGGCATCAGCCCCCGAGATAGGACAAGGCTAAGCCTGTCCAGTTCACTGCCCTTGCTGGTTTCCAAGCAGTCAACAGAGGGGCCCCGGGAGTCTGGCCCTACCCCTACAACAGCCCACAGCCCAGCCAGCTAATCCGGATATGCTAGAAGGGCATGGGCTGGGGAAGGAAGGGGAAGAAGAGAGACAGCAGGGCTCAGGACAGGGGCAAGAATGGGTGCCAGCCTCCCTGGTTGGGGAGGAGGGTAGCATGCTGAGCCTCAGAGTGAATTCCTGGTCTCCCTCTGGTCTTTTAGGGTGAAAGGTCCAACATGGCCCCTGACTCCCTGCCCAGTTAATCAGCTGCCATCCCAAGGGCCTCCTGTGCTAGCTTAATAGGGACAACAGTAAAATGAGATTAACTGGGGGCCAGAGAAGGAGGAAAAGGGCAGATGGAGACAGCAGAAGACAGCGATTCTGCCTGGGCCGTTCCACGTCCGCCTCTGCCCTCTCCCCTGCTCCTCTCCTCTGGAACGGGCCTCCACAGAGACAGACCCTCCAAGCTTCAGGTTCAGGAAGGGGAAGGTATCATATGCAGGGTTCCCTCAAGGACTGAAGAAGACAGAATGCACCGCCCAGCACACATGGGTAAAAAGAGGAGGCACGGTAATCCCAGCACTTTGGGAGGCTGAGGCGGGCAGACTGCTTGAGCCCAGGAGTTGGAGACCAGCCTGGGCAACACGGTGAAACCCCGTCTACAAAAAATACAAAAATGAGCCAGGCATGGTGGTGCACGCCTGTAGTCCCAACTACTAAGGAACCTGAGGTGGGAGAATTGCTTGAGCCCAAGAGGTGGAGGCTGCAGTGAGCCACGATCACACCACTGCACTCCAGCCTGGGCAACAGAGTAAGACCGTGTCTCAAAAAGACAGAGAGGCCAGGAGCAGAGGCTGATGCCTGTAATCCCAACACTTTGGGATGCCGAGGTGGGCAGATCACCTGAGGTCAGAGACCAGCCTGGCCAACATGGTGAAACCCCATTTCTACTAAAAATACAAAAATTAGCTGGGCGTGGTGGCGCATGGCTGTAATCCCAGCTACATGGGAGGCTGAGGCAGAAGAATCGCTTCAACCTGGGAAGCGGAGGTTGCAGTGAGCCGAGATCATGCCACTGCACTCCAGCCTGGCGACAGAGCGAGACTCCATCTCCAAAACAAAAAAGAGAGAGAGACAGAGAGAGAGAGCAGAATTTCCCTCCCAAAAGTTTCTGAGAGGCTGAGAGTGCCCTAATACTTAGAGGGCAGCAGCTGCGAGATCAAACGGGAGGAAGCTTATCAAGGTCAATGGCCAATCCTAGAGTATGATTCTGAAAATGTTAAGGATGATGAATCAAGGCTGAGACGGTAACACAACTCTGGCTGTAGAGTAAGGGTACAATAAAAGAATGGGAGAAGGGAAGTGGTCCTGTCAGCACGAAAACTCTCAAACCCAGAAGACAGAGACAACGCGAATCAAGAAGCACCCTGATACATTCAAAGAGTCTTAAAGAAGGAAAACAGGGGCTCAGCAGGATTGAGTCTATTCTCTGGGCCACAGACTTGGAGAGGGAATCCTGAACTCCAGATTTCAATCCGATGGGCACAAAAAGTAGAGAAGGAAAATAGAACACACAAAATAGCCCTGCTCGAAGGCTGAGCTGTCTTGAATAAAGGAGTTCTATGAACCGACAGAGAATGTTCATTCCACATCCTGAGAAGGTGGTCTTCTACCTGGGCAGTGCACAAGCTGAGGGGCAAGCCCCAGAATTGAGGAGACCTGGGGGAAGGGGTGGAAGCCACTCTCTGCTATCCACTCTTTCTTCACAAGGCCTCCGATTCCCTGCAAGGTAAATTAGGACCAAAGCCCCAAGTTTTGGAGTCTGGGGAGGGTTTGAGTCCAGTGCACCTCTATCTTCACTCCACTTCAGAAAATTCCTGAATCTGAGGAGGAAGTGTCAGCGTGCACCCGAAGAAAATGGAAACATGAGGAGGGCCATTTCATCATTTATTCTAGGGAGGAAATGAAGGTAAATGTATATCTCAGCGAGCCCCCAGTATCTCTCCCTGCCCCACCCCCATGGAGGGAGGGTGGTGTCTGGCACTGAGGAAGAGGCTCCTCAGGATTGGGAGGCAACATGGGGAAAATGGGGAACAAGAAATGGGTACCAGGGTTTCCAGAATGTGGCTGCAAGAGGTTAGGGACTAGGTTCAGTCTCTGGAAATTTTCGACGTACGTGTGGGGGGTGGGGAAACGTAATTCTGAAACTGCATACTGGGGGCTGGGGAGGTGGCGGATCAGCACCTCTCAGTCCTGGATTACAGGACAATTAAAGCAGGATGGGAAAGGAGAACCCCCCACCCTTTATCCTACTGGGACTCAGGGCCCTAACCCACGACAACTCAGATGCTACTGGGACATGTCTGCACCCCCAATATATTAGGGCTTAAGACAAGTAAAACGCCTGGGGAATGGGGGACACGGACGGAGTCGCTGCTGTTCCTTCCCCTTTGGCCCCCTCCTCACCGGAGCCCCAGTTGCACAGAATGACCTGGAACCGAGGCTTGCACCCCCAAAACATAGGGGTGTGAGTCAAAGTGAATGGTAAGAGGGACAACCCACAGCGCCTGTCCGCAAGAAGTTGCAACCCAGAGACCCCGCACCAAGCAGAAGGAAGAGCGACAGCGCTTGAAGCTTGCACCCTGATATTTGCGGGGGTCCGGGAAGAGGGGAGCGGGGCCGGAGCCCATATCGCGGCACGTACCACGCAGAGACACATGGAGGCGAATCTGTTCCGAGCCGACATGGAGAAGGGGAGGGGGACTGAGGGAAGGGGGTGGGTGGAATATCAAGGGTCCCGGGGTTGGGGGAGGGGGAGGGGCAGAGGGGCGGGGGCTGCGGCGGCCGCGGCGACAGGAGGCTGCGGCCGGAGGGGGGGGAACGGCGCCTGCGCAGTAAGGGAGAGCGTCACGTTGGGAGAGAGAGGGGTGAGGGGAGACCCTCTTAGCCACCAACTCCCCTGGTTCATGCTGTTTCTCTGTGGACTTCACTTTCCACTGTACTTCTATTCTGACCCCTCTACAAATAGAGACAGACTTAAATTTGCCAGTTTATCTCTCTAGTTCTCGGGGACTCCTTATTCCATCCCATCTAATGCCCCAACCCCAACATCGCGAGACCCCTAACCATTCCGAAACCTCACTGGACATCTCGTCATTACTGGACTCCCAGAGTCCAGGGAAGCAAACAGCACTTCTCTCACAAGAACCCCCAAGGGATCTACACTGCTTCTCCCACCAAACCCCCCAATCTCCTCAGATTCCAAGGCATCTCCTATTCTAACCAGCATAGTTCTCCCCTGCAGTCCAGCCCCACCTGATAGGCAGCCCATGATTCTTCAAAAGTTTAAAGAACCACAGATCCTTGTTGTGCCCCCAAATTAGTATATGCTAAATCATCCCTTTCCATATCACATCTATCCCCCAATCCACTAACAGGTACCTTGCAGTTAGTACAAATATTACTCTTGCTCTAATATAAATATCCAAATAACAAGTCCTCCAATTTGTTTGGGATCCCCTGTCCAAACCCCCGAATCTAGTAAGATACTCATGACTTCCTAATGTGCCAGTCTCCAATTCCACACCAGAACCCAATTTCAGGAAATATTTAATCTACTTTAAAGCAGACCCTCCAAATTCAATTGCAATCTCGTCATTTTTTTCCAAAACCCTTATAAAAAGAAATTTAGGCGGGAGGATCGCTGGAGGCCAGGCGCTCAACACCACCTTGGGCAACACAGTGAGATCCCACCTCTTAAAAAAAAAAAATTTGGCCCGGCGCAGTGGCTCATCCCTGCAATCCCAGCACTTTGGGAGGCCAAGGCAGGTGGATCACGAAGTCAGGAGTTCAAGACCAGCCTGGCCAAGATGGTGAAACCCCATCTCTACTAAAACTACAAAAATTAGCCGGGCGCAGTGGCAGGTGCACGTAATCCCAGCTACTCGGCAGGCTGAGGCAGGAGAATCGCTTGAACCTGGGCAGCAGAGATTGCAGTGAGCCGAGATCGCGCCACTGCACTCTAGCCTGGGCGACAGAGTGAGACTCGGTCTCAAAAATTAATTAATTAATTAATTAAAAGTATTTTCCTTTTCTTTTTCTCTTTTTTTTTTTTTTTTTTTTAGTGAAGGATACTCATGAACTTCCTAATGTGCCAGTCCTCCAATTCCACACCAGAACCCAATTTCAGGAAATATTTAATCTACTTTAAGCAGACCTCCTCCAAATTCAATTGCAATCTCGTCTTTTTTCCAAAACCCTTATAAAAAGAAATTTAGGCGGGAGG